AGATAATTCAGACATTTTAATGATAGAGAAATCTAGATATGAGTCCCCACTTATCTTCGTGTCATCACCTTCTGGCCTAGGGCCCTTAAAATGTCAGGATCGGACCTGTATAATTATTGATTAGCTAATTTGATTTTAATTAAATTACAGGCCGTGCCATTGTTCCTGTCCGAGATAGCACCTACCAGGATTCGTGGAGGGTTAAACATATTATTCCAACTTAATGTCACAGTTGGAATTCTCTTTGCTAATCTTGTCAATTACGGCACTGCTAAGTAAGCATTTTTCTTCTCTTTTACTCGTTAATTATATGTTTAACTTTTAATTAACGGCTAAGTAATCATGATTAATTCGGCGACAGAATCGAAGGTGGATGGGGTTGGCGGCTATCATTAGGTTTGGCCGGCATTCCGGCGCTTCTCCTAACCGTGGGGGCACTCCTGGTCGTCGATAGTCCGAACAGTCTCATCGAGCGCGGTCGCCTTGAAGAAGGAAAGTCCGTGCTCCGAAAGATTCGTGGCACCGATAACATCGAGCCCGAGTTCCTGGAGCTTGTAGAGGCGAGTCGATTGGCTAAACAGGTGAAACATCCTTTCAGAAATCTCCTTCAACGTCGGAACCGACCTCAGCTCGTGATCGCGGTCGCCTTGCAGGTAAAAGCACTGTTTGATAATGTCGTGTCGAGTCGTGTCGGGTTGTGAAATGAGTAACGTTTTTTTAAATGATATGTCTACATGGGACAGATCTTCCAACAATGTACCGGTATCAATGCAATCATGTTCTATGCGCCCGTCTTGTTCGACACATTGGGGTTTGGCAATGATGCTGCACTTTACTCCGCTGTTATTACCGGGGCTGTCAATGTGTTGTCCACCGTCGTATCAATTTACTCGGTCGACAAAGTGGGCCGTCGCGTGCTGTTGCTGGAAGCCGGTGTCCAGATGTTTTTATCTCAAGTTGTCATAGCAATTATTCTTGGTGTCAAGGTCAAGGATCATTCCGATGATCTCCACAAAGGTTTCGCAATCTTCGTGGTCGTTATGGTGTGTACATTCGTCTCGGCCTTCGCGTGGTCATGGGGACCTCTCGGTTGGCTAATCCCGAGCGAGACGTTCCCACTCGAGACCCGATCGGCGGGACAGAGTGTGACGGTTTGTGTCAACTTGCTCTTCACCTTTGTCATAGCTCAGGCTTTCCTCTCCATGCTGTGCCATTTCAAGTTCGGGATCTTCTTGTTCTTCTCCGGGTGGGTCCTGCTCATGTCGATCTTTACGTTGTTCCTAATCCCGGAGACAAAGAACGTCCCGATCGAGGAGATGACGGAGAGGGTGTGGAAGCAGCACTGGTTTTGGAAGAGGTTCATGGATGATGGATATGATGGAGCAGGTGTTAAGAATGGTGATTTTGCAAAGAAAAATGGGCATGCTAATGGTTTTGATCCAACTTCACAGTTGTAAATTTGAGATGATATAAGCACATCATCTCATCACAATCGAAAATAGACATAATAATATCATATATGTATCAGAGAAATGCTCCGAGTAATTGGTGTCATACAATATTTGATGTATAATGGTTGCTATAAAAAAATCAATCTTTGTGAATCTGAGCTACATGTCATTTGATATGGTACTTTTTTGTCGTTGATCGTTATGATACTGATGTGGTAGACTATGATGTTGACGTGACAATTCACGTTGGTTGATAACGTGGCAAATAATATACGAGATGAGCTAAATTGGTAACTCAAACATGACAGATGAACTGTCATGTCAGTACTATGGACCGCCAATTTTTTTGTTTAATAGTATTTTATGTCCTTATCGATTTAAATTTAAGTAAAATTGAACTTTTGTCTCCCTAATTTTTTATAAATACATAATATGTCCTTATATTTTGAAATTAAGTATCTCACCCTTCCCAATATTTGATCTTGGTTCTGTTCCAGACACAAATTAAATCAAATTGAACAATTGACAATAACGACAGAGACAACAACACAAAATAGACTTTATTTTTCATTATCTAATAAAAATTTTAAAAAATCATATTTAAACCCTTGAAAAACTTTATTTTTAACCCAGGTAAGATTATAGATTTTAACCAAAGGTTGATTGTGAAGCAAAGGAAGAACATCTATAATGTCAAATAGGTGAAGAGTCAACATACTTTCAAGACATGAAACATTAAACCTAGTATTGAAAAGGAACAAGACAGAAGAAGAGAATGAAATTGTATACATGAATCTGGTAACACTTTGTTATGTTATCATGGCATGTACCAATAAACAATATATATATAAAGATAGTGGGACTGAGCCATCATTGCAGTATAACACTCCTTGTCCAGTATGAGCAACACTCGATTAATTAATTACTTGACTGTATCTGCAATTTATGTCATCTGCAACTCACCCAACATTCTTTCCTTTCAAGCGTTGTCCTCTAACAGCTTCAAAACAATATGGGACTGCGAGGGACACCAATGATGATGCCAACAATAAGTTTAAGCATTGTTAAGTAACATTGTTATACGATACGATCGAAACAATACGAATATAATACGAACAGTTCAAAAATGCTATATATAAACACCTTAAGAGAAAGAATCCCTCCATATCTTTTCTTTTTTGTCTCTGCCGGTTTTTACCATGGATTTTCCGAAGAGAGCAGCGGCTCGGATGGTTGTGGTGGTTGCTGTCGCGATGATGCGGGTGTCCGAAGCGGCGGTTTACAAGGTTGGGGACGGCGTTGGTTGGACCTCCATCGGCAACCTTGATTACAAGCAATGGGCTGCTACTAAGACCTTTCAAGTTGGTGACATTATTCGTAAGTTCTTTCATCTCTATAAGCCTATTCCCTTTACTTGGATTATCACTTATAGTTACGGATGGTAACACGGTTGGGTCGGATTTTTGATTAATTTAACTTGAACTTAGAAGCATATCTCTTTCATCTGAAGTTAATTTAATCCGAGTTTAGGAATGTTTGACTCAATCCAAACTCGACTTGAAATTTAGGGTAAAAATATGCATTCAACCCGATCATACCCAATATGTATTATAGCAATTATCCCTAAATATATTTAAAAAATTACACTTATTTCGGGTCAAGTTAAATATTAATTTTTCACTTTAAATCCAATTCCGACTCCACTCGAATCAAATTAAAAAATACAAACTATCGAATCTATTCAAATCAAAATCCAAAATTCAGATTAAACAATAATCCATACGTATAGTAGCTTTGTTCTTTAAAAATTGTTCTTAGCTCTATATTGTTATAAATACATACAAGGGGAGACGGTGTGGGCCTTGGCCTCTTTGTTACATGGCGCAATTACAATTTTAGTCTCTATCAAACATTAATAATTCAATTTAGTCCTTTTAAACCTTTTGTTAATTGGAAAATTTTGCATTTTTGGCAATTATCTATTACCTCATTCAATGATACCAATATTAATGGCATATATACATATACATATAGATTTTGAGTACAATGCTCAGTTCCACAATGTGATGCGAGTAACACATCCGATGTACAAGGCCTGCAATGCCTCAGCCCCTTTGGCCACCTACACCACCGGCAACGACACCGTTAACATAACCACAAAGGGTCACCACTACTTTATCTGCGGCGTTCCCGGACACTGCCAGTCCGACAGAAGGTTGACATCAACGTGCTACGTGAATCCGAAACAGCTTCGATTCCCTCGGGAACGACCCCTACTTCGGCTTCGGCTTCGATTCCTTCGGCCGGAGGACCCGTGCCTTCGCCGAGCGGTGCCGTCTCTTTGAAAGGTTCTTCCAAGGGGAGTCTTACTAAGCTTTGTTTAGCAATGGCTGCTTTGGCAGTTTTTATGTCGTTTTTTTACTGAATAATTTTGGTTTGATTTTTGTTACACCGCAAAGACATGAATTTGCATGGAATACACTAATAATGGACACGTATCTTCTTCTTAATGTTCGATTGGCCCTTTAAGTAATAAAAAATTATATTTTAGTACTTCGTAATAATTAACAATATAATTTCAGACATTTTTGTACAAAATATTTTAACTTTGACCCCCTAATTTTTTTTTCATTTATCTCGATTCCCCAAATCAAAATTTATAACTTGGCCCTTCGTTTCCTCATAACAATCTCATACATAGACTGAAATCTGAGTACTGGGGACATTTACATAAATTAATTAATGAAACGGAGATCTCGGTACATGGGGCATTTAAATTAATTAATCTTATAATTGATAATCATTTTATATATTAAAAATAATAGTTGATAATTAAAAATGAATGGGATCTTAATCTGAATGAAAATTTTCCATTTTTCACGTTCAGGGCACGTGACACCCATTTTGCATTCAATCACACAACAAACTACACATTATAATTATGGGTAAACTACACATTTAATACTTAAACTATCAGTTTTGATCTATTTGAGTACCTAAATTTTTAATTTTTTACTAAATTTAACGTTAAATTTTAACACGGTAGCAAAATGAAACAAAAATAAACTTTAGGTATGATTTTGAAAAATTAAAAGTTTAGGTTCTAAAACAGACCAAAACTAATAGTTTAAATATTAAATGTGTAATTTATCCTATAATTATTAGAAATGAATAAAATTCGACTCTATTAAAAATATTGATTTTTACTTGATTTGTGACTAAAAACTTGATTTGATTTGTTTGTAATTTTATAACCCAATTTGACTCGAAAAAATTAAATAAAATTTAAATTATAAGATAAGACTCGTCAATTCGATTAATTCAAAAAAAATACTCGATTTATTTGAATATTCACCCTTAGATATAATTTTTCCTCACACTTTATTAAGTTTATATAATATTTAACATGAATTAATCAATCAATTTCAAGATTATAAAAATATATAAATATGATTTAAGTATTAAATTTAACCCGTAAATTCCATTTCTATTGTTAATTTTATTAATGTAATCATTATATATATACATACATATAATTAGCTAAGCTAAGCTTTTGGAAGACAATGGTAATGGGGAAGAGAAGGGAGAAAGTAGGTAAAAGATCTCAAACACTACCCTCATCTCCTTCCCACTCTTTCTCTTCATCCTCCTCCTCCGACTTCGAGTTCACCATCTCATTTTCCCCACGCGCCGCCACCTCCTCCTCCCTATGTCCGGCGGACGACCTCTTCTACAAAGGCCAGCTCTTGCCTCTCCACCTCTCCCCTCGTCTCTCCATGGTCCGGACCCTCTTATCCTCCTCTTCCTCCTCCTCCACCGCCACTGCCTCTCGCGACTCCACTGCCAGCTCCTCCAACGACTCCCGCTCATCTTTCGCCAGCGACATCCTCCTGCTCGCCGCCGATAACTGCGGATCCTCGAGGCCGAGCTCCGTCTCCGAAGACAATGGTAACCAAATATTTCCAACCCATCATCAACAACCACAACAACAACAAATCAAGAAGAACAAGTATTTTTCTTTGTCTAGATTCTCTTCCATGTTCAACAAAGAAAACAAGCATGACCAGGTGGTGAACATGGCGGCGGCGCCACCTTCATCGGTTAAAAAGATGAGCATAACAGCGAAACGAGTTATAAGCAAGTATTTGAAGAAAGTGAAGCCATTGTACGAGAAACTATCGAATAAACAAGTCGAAACGGTCTCGGCTTTGTCGTCGTCGACGTCGGTTCCGACTTCGTTCTCCATCAAACCAATGAGATCTGTCAAAGAAAGCAACAACAATGGCGGATTTTCTCACTCTTTCTCGGGAAACTTGAGGTACCCAAGAAGGAGAAGCTGCATTTCGAGCTGCCCTTCGTCGATGCGGTCGTCGCCGAGCCACTCCGGGGTGCTTTCTCGAAACGGGGTTCCGCTGAATACGGGTCGGGTCGGTGGAGCCATGCAGTACCCGGACCAGTCGTCGATGGAAGAATTGCAGAGTGCCATTCAAGGTGCCATTGCTCATTGCAAGAATTCTTTGGTTCGAAACAAGAGCACTGTGATAAGTAACGAAATTGTACGGTAAAATCTCTTTGGATGAATTTTCCACTTATTTTACAGCATCTCGTAAGATAAAAATAACATGACATGAAGACCTAGGGTTTTTTTTTATTTCAATTTTAATTTTTTCTGTCATCTTTTTGTTTTATTTCAAGATCTTCGATAAATTTAATGTGTAGTAGTTTGGTTGAGTAGATGCATGTGATGTGATGAAGCAAGCACCAAATATATAATTATAAGCCCAAGTTCGAGACATTTCATATGCAATGAGTTGTATCATTAATTAATCTTGTCGGTGAAGGATTTTCTCTACATCTAATCCAATTATTTATGTTAAAATCATGTCAATGATTACCTTTATGATGATTCTTAAAGTTAATATCCCAAGAAAACTCAAATCCATAAGCATTAAAATAATAAAAGAACTTCGATTAAATTTTATTTTAATTAATGTCGTTATGATTATAATAATACGAAAGTGAATTTCATGATTGTCTCAACTTTATAGCATTAAAATTTGAAGGGACCGGAATTGATATTTAACCATTTTGAGGGGGCATGGCTCCTTCCTCTGTCCTTTTAGCGTGGGTCTAAGTTCTTGTCGGCTAGCATGTACCTATATTATAGAAGCTGTATTGGGTTAGTTTTTATATTTTTGAAAAAAAGGATTAATTTAGTCCCTTGGAAACTAGTTTGAATCATGTTCAGATGTGGTGATAAGAGATGGTGAAGGGCAAGTGTTAGGGCTGCTCGGAAAATTTTCTTACCGGATTCTGTCGAACTTCGTAGCAGAGGCATTGGCGATTATATACGGACTACAGTGACGAATCAAGTGATGCATGTAACAATTTTGAAGGATCGATTATTGACCGGTGACGAATTTTGGGTGAAAAACACTCCGACGACGACGTTGACGTTGGTGACGTACAATCGAAAATGAATCGGTCCCCTTAAACTCACTATTATGACTCTACTTTCCGGAATGGAAAAAGGTTTATAGAGTTCGACATCCATTATTTATCATCTTCTAACGTGACCAAAACGATAATTTCAACATAATTTAATGATTTCTAGTGTAGTTTACCCTATTTTTTTAACGTTTGATGCATTGTTCGTTTCTCCTGTCTTGTCTGAAAAACCATAACAAAACAAGATGCAATGTGCCAATCAATCATCACCCTCCGATCTAGAGATCGGATCTGGTTCCAATGAAAGGGTCCCACCAATGCTTAGTGGGACCTGATGTGGGGTAACATTACCACCTGGTCGAAAAGGCAGCCATGGATAAATTTGTGGTCATAATTTGAAGACTGAAGTACATGTTTTAGGACTCTTTTGCCAGCGTGGCCCCATTGCTGGAATCGGATTTGGATTGGTAGGGTTTTGCTTGGTCCCACAGCATCCAAAAGATTTGATTATGTTAAGGGGCGTTTGGTTTAGGTATCTCACGTTATGAGGGAATGAAATATCATTCTTTCGTTTTGATTGTAAATATTCTCAATCTCTGATAATGAGTTATTTTTAATAGTGATATTTTGGGGTATATTATCAGGAATGTGATTCTCTTTTCCTTAGGTATTGTTATATTCCTGGTATTTTGGACTAAAATGCCCTTAATTTTTTTTCAAAAATATTCTTCTTCTGTCGTTGAATAAAAAAAATCTACGAAGGTTAAACTGTAAATTTATCCTTAAACTATTTTAGATTTACAAAAAAAAAGTTCATAATTAGAATAAGTTTAGGGATTAAAATAAAATTTTACCCTTTCATTAAACCTATTTATCTTTTCAAATTTGTAAAAAAATTATATAAATTTTATGAATTTAAAATTTTTAAAGAAAATATATAAATTATTTATAGTAAAATTCAACTTGTTAAAAAACAAATATAATAAGGATAATTTGGTAAAATATACATTCCAATAATCTTTTATTCCTTTAACCAAACACTATAATCTTGCATTTCTGCTAAACGAACTAAACACAAAAATGTAACATTGCCAATAATCTTATTCCCGCCGGTAATCTTATTCCCGCCGGTAATCTTATTCCCGCCGGTAATCTTACATTTCTTGAACCAAATGCACCCTAAAATCTTCTTGTATTAATCCAATCCCGATAAAAAAAATTAGATTCATTGATCGATTTCAGTTATTAACACGAATGTTATTATTCTTAGATATTTTGAGTTTAAACAGTTACGTCTGTAGGATATATACATTATTAATTGATTAAGAAAATTATGATGGAATGTAATTACCCAACCATTGTTTTGAATTGATAAACTCTCTTAGTTTAATAATATCATAAAAGGCTAAATTAATGAAATTCATATAAAGGATTTTGTTTATTGAGTTATTTTGATTATTATTGTTTTATTGAATTATTTTATTGAATAATAAACTATTATTTTATTGAATTATTTTGAATTACGGTCAAATTGAATGATTTAAAATATATTTTATTCGTTTTAAAAGATTTTTTATTTTAAAATATATAACAATTTTAATTTTCCATCCTTGTATGCATGTATATGTATGGTTGAAATTTTGAAGCAAGATCGTTTTCAAACTGCATCCGATCCTCCATGCATAATGAAAAGGAGTTGAGATATTAGGGAAAAATATATATTTTTAAATAAATAAATAATATACACATTTTAAATATTGAAGTAAAAAATATATTTCATGATAAATAAAAATAATATACAAATTGAATCTTCAAGCGACGAAGTCAGGATTTTAGTTCAGGGGACAAAGTATAATTAAAAATAGAAAATGGAGGGCAAAATAAAAATAAATTTAAATTTAAAGGCATAACTTGGTAATTATCCCTATTGTTTTAATGGTAAAAAAATTTGGACGGCAGTGGCCCGGGGCCTACATGGTTCCGTCACTGAATATGAGGAAATATCTTTCATCGTGTGTAGGAATGAAAATCTGACCAAGTCAAGTTAAATTACGTAAAAAGAAATTAGGGGTAAATTATATATTTAGTACCTAAACTATTTGATCTATTTTAATATTTATTTTTTATTTTTTAAACGATTCATAATGTTTAATTTTTGTTTCATTTTAATATCTCACCGTTAAAAACTTAACACATTTAGCACCTAAACTATCAATTTTAATTCATTTTAAAACCAAAACTTTGAATTTTGTTAAAAACTTAACGTTAAATTTTGAACGGGTACTAAAATAAAATAAAACAAAAACTAAATTTTAGTTATAATTTAAAAAACGAAAAGTTTTAAGTACTAAAACGGATCAAAACTTATAGTTAGGTACTAAACATATACTTTACCCAAAGACTAGTTGATCGTGATGAAAAAATTTATTTTATTATTCAAACTTTGTATCAAACTAGAATTTTATCGATAAAATAAATAGATTTTAAGCCAAAGCACATAAATTAAAAATACATATATACAATGGGACATAATCAGCATTAAAATGGATATAGACTGAACCTATATATCTTCTGTTGTCTGTGTTCCTACTCTTTGTCCGTACAACATTCCAACAAGGGGACCACCTTAGAGCAGGGGCTTCATTGGTAATAATCTATGAAAACACCGTTAACTTATCGGCCACCGGAATCTGAATCCGATTCCGTTGAAGCAGCGGCAGCTAAGTTATCAGCTACCTGCTTATCGAGCTGCTTTTCAAGATACCTCTGAGCAGTTGCATTCACAATCTTGACAAAGAAGTTCATGAGCATAAGCCACACGACGGTATTCCAGATCGATCCGAATGAGAAATCCCACTTCCCCTGTGGAATCATTTAGCACAACGTGTTTACGAATTTGTTAGATTCGAGTCGGTCATAACTCGGGCGAAAATGGATTGAATTGTTTATACTGGTTTGACGAGAGCGGAGTACCTTGATATTTGAAGGCAGAGTGCGTGGGGCGGCCAAGTACTTGTCTTTGGCCGCGTGAAGTTTCGCTGTGAGGGTCGGCAAAAAAGTTTCGAGTCCGGGTATGAAGCCAAGAATCCAGATCAATTCATTCTCCATCCAATCAAGGAGTTGATTATTGCAGATACAGATAATGAAAACCATCTGCAGAAAACGAACGAAATAGATGCTTCATTAAAATGATAGAAAAAATTAGAATTCAGTCTTCGTCTAATGATTCGAGAATCGAGACATTTTCCGGCCAACCGCGGTACCAAGAATCGAAAAATAAGCATTATAAGACCAATTCAGGGATTTCAAAGAAATCGTTCCGTTAAAGAAGAAAACTATCGAAGCAACTAGGGCTCTGCTTGCAGTAGAACATAAAGACATACACGACGAACCTGTATGTAAGTTTTAATAAACGCCTTTCCGATCAACGTTGAGAGAAAGAACTCCCAGAATGGAATTCCGAATTGTCCACACATGATGCCGGCAAGGTCAAATAAAGGATTGGGGACCTGAAACACGATTAAGTTTATCACCAGGTTTATATAAAAACATCAATCATCAGTGGGTTAAATACTGTGTATAAACCACAGTGAACTTGGTACGAAACTTCATAATTCGGACGGAAAATCTTCACAAAGTTTACATTAGGTGTCATAAGACAAAACAAGGAAAACATAGTAATAGAACCGAAGAGAGGTGCTGACCGAGGCAAGAACTAAAATGGTAAAGAAGTTCAAGTGTTGGGATGAGATAACAGCCAGCGTTCAATCTTTTTCAGGTAAGTAGCTATGACACCAGATTCCTCACTTGAGGAAGCATCCAATTCTTCCATGGCGTCAATTTCCTGCCCGACTCACTGGCTGCATAAAACAGCAGATCACCGCAAGGTAACAATCTTTTAGTAGACAACTAACTTCAGACAGAACAACCAATGTTTTGAACTTCGTACGTAAAATAAATTACCAACCAAAGCAGCATCAAAATAGAAAAAGGCAAGTACATAGCAAACTCGAGAGTTCGATCAAGAAACAACAATGCGTGTACAACATTTTAAATTTTAAGTAAATTGCAAAGCCTATATATCAAGTGTAAAAGCCGGCACACATACCAGCCCTTGAGATAAAGTAAGG